CTGCTCCGGTGGGTCCCGCCGTGCACGCTGCAGCCCTTAGGGAGCTCGGCGCACTCTCCCGGGGCGCAGGTGTCTGTTAGTGTCCCCGGGAGCCCGAGGGCATCCCCGCCCTCCTGGGTCCTGCTCCAACTCCCTGCGAGCCCCTTTCCGCCCGGGAAGGTTGGTGCAGCTCCTGCTCCTCCTCCGGGACGGGGACGGGGCTCTCCTGTCCTGGGGACACTCGCCCCGGCCTCAGCCCGGCTCCTCGCGGGGCCCCTCCCCCTCGGAGGCCTTTTGTTCCTTTATTTCTTCTTCCCCGTCTTCCTACCTTGATAGAAGCGCGGACTCTCCTCACTGTAGCGTTCCAGCTGGTCTCTCTTTACGTCTCAGGCCGAATTCGTAGGCTTTCGGGATGATTGGGAGGTTATGTAGGTAATTTGGTGGGGACAGGTGACTTGGGGACCCTGCTCTTCCGCCGTCTTGCCCCTCCCCCAATTTTTCAAACTAGTCTTTAAAATTTTGCACATTTTATAATGGGAGAATCAAACATATAATTTTGTAAATTAAGTGCCATGCTTTCTGCAAGCTTAAAATCAATGGTCAAATGAAGAACTTAATGTGTAAAACTTATTTAAGTTTTTTTTTAAAGATTTTATTTATTTGAGAGAGAGAGAGCATATGAGGTCGGAGGGAGAGGGAGAAGGGGGCAGTTGACTCGCTGTGCTGAGCGCTGAGCCCTTCATGGGGCTGGATCCCAGGAGGCCTGAGATCGGGCCCGAGCCAGAGGCGAGAGTCAGACACTCGACGGCCGGAGCCAGCGGGCGCCCCTGTAAAATGTGTTTTGAATAGTTCAGAAACATTTATCCCTGGAATATGTCATTTTATTTGCAGCTGACCTCTGCAGTAGTGTTTTACCGTGGTACTATTCTATGTGACACTCGGCTCGATATGCCATGTTATTCACGTTCAATTTCTCCCCTTCTGCACTGGAGAAACCTAATACTTTTGGGTGTCAGCAGCTCATCAAAAGTGAAACTGCTTATACAAATAAAGCTGCAGCCTATGAACTTTATTATCCTTGGCTCTAATGCTTAAGTTTTTCTCTAAGTGGAGTAGACGTTGCAACGGAGGTTCTGCTAAGACTATTTATCAAGAAACATACTCGAGCTGACCCCAGGAACAAATTCCGACATTCAAAGCCTTACATCGAGGTGTGATCATAGATCCTCAAAATAAGAACAATCCATTAGCTTTGTGGAGACGATAGCGGAAACCGGTTTGGACGAAGGGGAGACGGGAAGTCAGAAATGAATCTCCTTTAATGGGGGGCGTCCGCTTCGAATCGAGGGGGAAATAGGCGAAAATCACCTGCTTGTTCAGAGCCCGCGCTCCCCCGCGCTCCCCCGCGCTCCCCCGCGCTTCGCCGGGCGACCGCGACCCGAGGCCCTTCCCAGCAGACCCCACGTTACCCTGGTAGTTTGGTGGACCTGCCGCGGCCCCGACCAGGCCTGGGGGGCTTCACCACAGAAGGCGGCTTCTCCGCGCTCTGCGGCTCCCGCTCCGACCGCGGAGTCCGGTGGGCCCGGGGCGGGGCGGGGGCGGGGCGGGGGCCGGGCAGGGCCGGGGCAGGGACCGGGCAGGGCCGAGGCAGGGGTAGGGCCGGGGCAGGGCCGGGGCAGGGCTGCAGCGGGGGGGGGGGGGGGGCGTGCTGGGCAGGGCAGGAGCGGGGCAGGGGTGGGGCGGGGCAGGGCCGGGGCAGGGCTGCGGCAGGGGCAGGGCCGGGGCGGGGGCCTGGGCGGGGACGGGGCAGGGGCGGGGCCGGGGTTGCGGCAGGGGCAGGGCCGGGGCAGGGGCAGGGCCGCGGCAGGGGCGGGGCAGGGCTGCAGCGGGGGGGGGGGGCGTGCTGGGCAGGGCAGGAGCGGGGCAGGGGTGGGGCGGGGCAGGGCCGGGGCAGGGCTGCGGCAGGGGCAGGGCCGGGGCGGGGGCCTGGGCGGGGGCGGGGCAGGGGCGGGGCCGGGGTTGCGGCAGGGGCAGGGCCGGGGCAGGGGCAGGGCCGCGGCAGGGGCGGGGCAGGGCTGCGGCAGGGGCAGGGCCGGGGCAGGAGCGGGGCAGGGGCGGGGCAGGGCAAGGGCAGGGCCGGGCAGGGCCGGGGCAGGAGCGGGGCAGGGGCGGGGCAGGCCAAGGGCAGGGCCGGGCAGGGCCGGGGCAGGGCCGGGGCAGGGCCGGGGCAGGGGCCGGGGCAGGGCAGGCAGGGCTCTCCCCTCGGAAGCCTCTCCCCTCCCCCGCCCTGAGTCTCAGGGTTCACATCTCCTGCTTACGAGGGTACCAGCCGATCGGGACCCATCCTGAGGGCCTCTTTAATCACCTCTGGAAACGGTTTCTGAATACAGGCGCATCCTGAGGTGCCGCGGCCCAGCGCGCAGGTCAGCATGCGGGTCTTGAGAGTTAGGGGTCAGCTCCAAGTCACACGCATGTTCTCCTGCTCTTTGCACATACACCTCCCCCGAACATTTTGTTAAAGACTTGATAAGATTAAATGAAAATAGAAGTTCTGTTGACTTCCCAGTCCCAGTGGATTGTCTGATAGATTCGTACACAGCACTCTGGAGGCCTAAAACCACAAAATGAGAGCTAATTAGCTACTCTCCTGAAATGAGAGCTCAAGATTGCCTGTAACCACGCTTTGCTCTCGTGCTTCGATGGTGCATTTCTCTGTTGTGTTTTTCATTTTAAGGAGCTAATGGTCTCTCGATGTTGGATCGTTTTGCTACAAAGCCTGTCTGGCTTTACCTTTCTTGACACATAAGCCTCCATGTGAATCCTGAAGGGTTTTGAGAAATGTTTTAGGTAAATATGAAAATTCATAAAACACACAGAAATCTATAAAGTATTTCTTATACTAAAACACTTCTGATGTCAAATGGCTTCACAATAAAGTTGCTTAGGAATGTAAAAATTCTTTTCCTGCCCAGTTTAAGTACTTATTACACTACTTTATTCTTTAACACAATAGTGATGATAATAAATATGACTTCTGGTATTCGTGTCAGCTCAATTTCTTATACCTGCAGTGGTCTGAAACAAGTTTTAGTTTCTACTAACAGTTTCTATTTTAAAAATAAAGTGTGGAGCTTTGTGTATTCTTCAGTAGCTATTTGGTTGAGGTAGGGGAAACCCGCTATTATTCTCATGATACATTAATATTGATTCTAGATAGATTAATGCATTAAATATTAAAGATCAAACTGTAAAGAAAAAAAAGGGAGAAGGAGACAAATTGTTTTTTTCCTAAGATTTTATTTATTTATTCAAGAGACAGACAGAGACACAGGCAGAGGGAGAAGCAGGCTCCATGCAGGGAGCCTGACGTGGGACTCGATCCCGGGTCTCCAGGATCCGGCCCTGGGCTGAAGGCGGCGCTAAACCGCTGAGCCACCCGGGCTGCCCTAATTGTTTGTTTCTGTGTGAAGAAATTTTCAGGCTGAAAAGCAACGGAATCAATTACAAAATCAAAGAATGACTGCATAAAATATAAAAATATTTGTGCATTTAAAGTCAAAGGATTAAGAAAAATGGAAACGTAGTTGAAAACGTGATATACTTAACATCTTGAATGTAAATACAAATAAAATAGCATTAAGATATTCATAGATAGGTGGACACAAGGTGGTAATTTATGAAAGAGATAATAACTAGTATGATTGGAAAACTATTCAAAGTAGGAAATTGATAGAATCATAAGGTTATCAGACATGGAAAAAACGATGGAGCAAATGTTCATCGATAATAAGGTAAATCGGTGTAATAGCCTTTTAGAAATGATGTATATGCATAATTTTCAATAATAAAGTGCTTATAACAGGACACATTATATGTATTGTCCAGCCTTGAAAATGCATAAAACTCGAGGAATACATCAAAATGTCAATACCGGTGATCTCCAGTGGCATTAGTTCAGTTTTCATTCCTCCAGGCTTTTGTTTTCACATTTCACATTACATTTACGCTGTCTTACATTTCACCAAGCATTCGCTTATCTAATATCAGAAAATAGAAACACGCTACAAAAGTCAAAAACAGTAAACCGGAACCCACATGACCTCTTTCCAAGCATTGCACAGCCCCTTAACTATTTTGCAAATATACTACCGTGTTCATCAAACGGAACACTCTGTAACGAGCACAGAAAAAAGCCTGAGGGCGGAGGCTCATGACTTTTGTCTCAACAACCAGCCAGCTGCGTGCATTTAATCACTTCGCTCCTTGATACTGTATTCTCTTTCGCACCAAATCTAAATTCACCTTTACGTTACTGGAGAACTTGTTTAAGTAAGTAGATTAAGCTTCAAATCACACCGGTGGTGGCATTTTTTTCTTTTTTCACGGCTCGAAGCCTTGTACCTGCGGCCCAGGCCTACAGCGGTATTGAGAGCATCGCAGGTGCCGGCAGGTGCCGGCAGGTGCCGGCAGGTCCGGGCCGGGGCAGCACCGCGCGGGCGAGTCGCCGACGGCAGCTCCGAGGGAGCAGCGCGGGGCACCTGCAGAGCCCTGGGCCGCCCCCCGTCCGGCCCGCGTGCGGCCGCCCCGCCCCGGGAAGGTGCAGGGGCCGCCCGTGCGCGTCACCTTGGCCTCGGGCGCGACGGCGGCAGGACCCCGGCGGCAGCCAGCAGCTGCGCGAACCGCCGCAGCTCGGCGGCCCTGCAAGCCGCGTCCCCGCTCCGGAGGCCGGGACGCACGCGCCGCCATCTCCTTCCTCACTGGCCTCGGAAAACCCGCCCCAACGGCGACCAGCACACCTGCCGTCCAGGGGACCGCCGGCCCAGGGCAGCCCCGCCCCGCCCCACGCCGAGGCCCCGCCCCCGGACCAGGCCCCGCCCCGCCCCAGCCCCGCCCCCGGACCAAGCCCCGCCTCTGCGACTGCCGGCGGAAGCAACGGGGCGGGCGTGCCTCTCGCGGGACCTAACAGCATTTCTGGCGAGATTTCGATCCCGCGGGCCAGGGGAGTCTCGCGGGAAGTTGAACCGGAAGAGCAGGGTGTAGACGTGAAGGTGGGGGTGCGCCTGACCTGCCGGACCGCTTGGGTGCTGCCGGGCGGCGGGGACGTCTTGTTGGGCATCTCCCGGCGGGATAATGTTGACTCGGGTGAGGGCTGGCACCCGACGGGCGGGCACCTCCGGGCCGACGGGGCGGGGTGGGGGGGATGCGGGGACTTGGCTGGCTTCCCGGGCAAAGCCCTGGAGTGGGCGGGGTGCCGGGATGCTTGGTGGTGGGCGCTCTCGGTCCTCGGGGTCGGGGTCGGGGTCGGGGTCGGGGTCCGGGTCCGGGTCGGGGTTCCAGGCTAGGATTAGGGTTAGTGGTTAGGGTTGGGGTTAGAGGTTGGGATTGGGGGTTAGGGTCCCGACTCCCAAGGTTCGCCTGCGCCCCAGTGACCGTCTGCTACGCCGCCCGCGGACTTGCCTCCCTGCGCCCTCCGCCCGGAGCCCCCTCCTGCCAGCTCCGCAAGGCCAAGGCCGAGGGTCCTGCTGTCTGTCCCCCGGGAGCGTAGGACGTTACCTAGTAACACCTCCCTAAACGGGTGAGTCCGGGAGATAGAATCGGAAGGAGTTTCCATAGGAAACAAGTGACTTTCTTTCTTTCTTCTTCTTCTTCTTTTTTTTTTTTCTCAAAATCACCTTTTTTATTTTAGAATGATTTTACATTTACAAGAGTTGCAGAGATGACACAGATTTCCCATAGGCCTTTCACCCAGTTTCCCCTAATGTCAACGCCTGGAGGGGCTTAATTAAGTTAATTTTGTTCCTTTGACACAGTTTCTTCTGCGAGGGCCACTCATTTTCCTACGGCCACAAAGTCTTCGACCTTTGCTTAAATTTATTTGCAATGATCATTTGAAGAAACCCCCATGCTCCCTTGCAAGAAGCGTCAGTAATCGTAAAACGTGTTCTTAAGAAAATAACTGCTCATTTGAAGTTTGATGAATTTGTGACATCGGATGGTGTCAGCAGCTTTTTCTTGTCGTCATAGCTGAAAGCAGAATCGGAGAGGAAGCTTGCAAAACGGATTTGCAAAGTTGTATTGGATCATTTTGAAAAACAGTATTCCAAGGAACTTGGAGATGCCTGGGATACAGTAAGGTCAGTAAACCTCATCTCTTGATGCTTTGTGGTCAGACACAAAATAAGTCCTTTGGGGAGGGGTGCTGCGAGGATAAAAGAGGAATCTAACCCTGGCTGCCCTTTTCCTACAGATGCTAAAGAAGAGAACGGTGAGGAAATAGACGGAATCATAGGAAAATGAAAAAGGGAGAAAGAAAACTTTTAGTAATAGGAGAAAATTGTGATGGCCTTGCCTTGAGCAATTATTTTGATCTTGGAAAGAAGAATGTCCGCCAGTTTGACAAAATTAATTATAGTGTAACAGAAGCGTCTTAAAGCTTTTGAGGGTATTTGACGAGTTTCTGGAATTCAGAAGATAATACAATAAATCTTGAAAGTGGATGCTCCTCTCGCTTAGCTAGAGTCACTTTATTTGGGCATCATATTTCTTCCCTGTGTCTTTGGCATGCTGTGTTTTGAACAGGTGTGTACACACACGCACACACACACTACAGATTCTTTAAATGTGTCATGGAAAACAAATGTTCCTTACATAGAAATAAGTAAGATAAGTGGGATTTGTACAGTGATTCTGCCTTTGGTCAGAGAGTTATTCCATGGGTTCTTTACATTGAGTTCTTTTTTCTTTTTCAAATTTTTATTGAAGTTCTAGTTAACATACAGCACAGTGATGGTTTCAGGAGTAGAATTAAGTGACTCATCACTTACATAAAACACCCAGTGCTCAGCACAACGTGCCGTCCGAAATACTCGTCATCCATCTAGCCCATCCCTCAGTTTGTTGCCTATAGATAAAAGTCTCTTACAGTTTGCTTCCCCCTTTTTTTTTTTTCCCCTTCCCTCATGTTCATCTTTTGTTTCTTAAGTTCCACATATGCATGAAATCACACAGTACTTGTCTTTCTCTGGCTGACTTATTTCTCTTAGGATAAATACATGTAGCTCCATCCATGTTGTTGCAAATGGCAAGATTTCATTCTTTTTGTTGACTGAGTAATATTATTCCATTGTATATACACCACACCTTCTTTATCCATTCTTCATTCGAAGGACATTTGGGCTCTTTCCATATAATTTACCTATTGTTGGTAATCCTGCTGTAAACATATGGGTGCACGTGCCCCTTCAAATCAGTATGTTTGTATCCTTTAGGTAACTACTCAGTGGTGCAATTGCAGGATCATAGGGTAGCTCTATTTTAACTTTTTGAGGAACCTCCATAGTGGCCGCAGCAGTCTGCATTCCCACCAACAGTGTAAGACCGTTCCTTCCCCCTTCTCCACATCCTCACCAGTATCTGTTTCTTGAATTGTCCATTTTAGTCATTCTGACAGGTGTGAGGTGATATGTCATTATAGTTTTGATTTGCATTTACCCTGATGATCATCTTTTTTTTTTTTTTTTTTGATCATCTTTTCATGAATCTGTTGGCCACCTGGATGTATGTCTTCTTTGGAAAAGTGTCTGTTCATAGCTTCTGCCCATTTCTTAACTGGAGTATTTATTTTTTGGGTGTTGAGTGTGATATAAGTTCTTTATAGATTTTGGACACTGTCTCTTTATCTGAATGTCATTTGCAAACATCTCCTCCTATTCCGAAGGTTGCATTTTCATTGGTTGGTTATTTCCTTTGCTGTGCAGAAGCTTTTTATCTTGATATTCTCATAGTTCATTTTTTTTTTCGTTTCCCTTGCCTACATTGCATTCTACATATATTCTTTGCCCCGTATCCAGTCTGCTTGCAGTCTGGTATTCATGGGGGATAAGGAGGCTGGTTAAAACTATATAAACTGTTAATTCCATACATATCGTGATAGAACTAGGCAGGAGTACCTTGTCTTATTTAACAGAGCTTGAGGGAGGAGAAGCCAGGCCTTAGTAACTTAACAGGAGTTACTTTAGCAGAAAGAACCAGGTTATTTAGGTTGAAAGAAGAGGGTGCACTGCTTCTAAAGCTAGGGGCAAAAGCCTAGTACATTTTACTCAGGAAAAAAACGTTATGTGGCTGTAGACAATGGAATTGAGTCACATTATTGTCATTAATCTCATCTTGGATCAGCTCAGTAACACATTCTTATTTACAAGGGACAGCTTTGAGCACTTTTTAAAATGGATTCAGTATTGAACATAATAAAGGCTGAGGTGATTCTGAGAATATTTTAGAGCGAATTACATGGTTTTAGGAACTCAAATACTATAAAAAAAAGTACTTCATAGTTGTGGCTTTTCTTTCAAAATTAGATTTTAAGGTGGGTGTCTTCTGTCACAGAGAAGAAAGAAAAATGGTAGTGAAGCATAACGGATGCATTATGTCTTTCCTATGTAAAGTCACCCACATAGAACGTCCCGACAACCACATAATATGCATATTGCGCACCAGGTGGTATTGGCTTTGTGTGGTTCTCCGAATAAAGCTCTGAGTGGTGTTTCCCATGATGGAACTCCACAGAGTTTAGGTGACTTGCCCAAGTGGACAGCTAGTAAGTGTCAGAGCAGGGATGTGTGTCTAGGCTTTCTGGTTCAAGAACTTGTACTGCTAACCCCTCTTCTCACACCTGGGGTGTAATTAGGCATTCATGGATGATTAAAAAAAAAAAATTTAAAAAGCATATTGTCCTCAGATTGTATAGTCCTATGGCTGCCCTTTCTCTGTAATGAGTTATTTTTCTATTTAATGTGCTCAGACAGATTTATAAAGTATTGTTTGACCCTAAACAAAATGAGCAGTGAACCTCAAATCCATTTAATTAGCTGTGCCTTCTGCTTCATCTACCTTTTTGTTGGGTTTTCATGGTAATTTAAGTTTTGCATAAATGTGCTGGATTTGCCCTGGGCAAAAAAGGCTGAGCTTGGAAAGTAGTCTGAGCATGGAAGATGGCATGGGGAATTGAGAGCAAATATTTTTGTGGGTTTTTTTTTTTTCGACTTTTATTTGGAAGACATAGTGTCCTGCTTGCAGAGTCTGTTCACTTCCAGAGAAAGATGAGTACATTCTTGTCTTCCTTCTAGAAAGTGATTCACTTATTTTTAGTTTTCCTGTAGGAGATTAGATAGTGGGAAATATTTCATATATATTGAAATTTTACTGTTTTCTGATAACCTGTTCTACAAATCGCCCTGTGAGCGGCCCTTTAGGGTGCTGCTCGCCCCGTGCCTACGTTATCTTGCAGGTACGCCCCTCCGTGATGGGACTTTCAGCTCCCCGCAACGTGCTGCCATCTCACTCTGTGCAGTCCTCCCTAAGCTTTGTTCCATACTAGTCAGCATCTTGGGTGACTTCACTGAATTCGATACTAGGCAGTCTCAAAGGCACGTTATTTTTTCCTTCTCCTATGTTGTCACGGCCCACGGTGCATATTTTATCTCACCTGTTAAGGGTGTCACCGCCCATGTTTCCCCTTTTTCCTCCACACCTTCAAGGTAAACAATGCACCTTAATCAGAAATATGCCCGACACGTGCCCTCTGCTGCTGGGAGGCTATCTCTAAGCCCTTGGAATGTCCTGCCTAAGGCGTCTTTGTTTACCTGGGGGGTTGCGCGTGCCGGAAGGTCTGACGGTGTGCTTCCCGGTGGGGGCGGTGGGGGCTACGGGCTCTGTTTGGGCCTGCTTCCCAGCTCTGACCTCCAGAGGAGCTGGGCGCTAAGCACTCATCCGGTGATGATGTTTGTGGGACTGGGCGCCAATAAAATCTAGGGTCCAGGTCTCCGGGGAGCCCTCGTACTTGGCAGTACTCCTGTGCACGTGGTCACATGTTGTTGAAGGAACAGTCGTCCTTGCCTGTGATTCCACGGGAGGGGACTCCTGGAAGCCTCTCGCCGTGAGCACTGCTGTCCTCTGCACCACGTAGCTCTCACCTTGGCTGACCTTGACGGTTCGGGCCCTCAAACCGCGTACTGCCATACGCCACTGCTCTGCCTCTATCAGGGGCTAAATGCCCTCTAAATGCGTCTACTGCTTCCTGAGAAATTTCTTAATTTGGATTTCTCTTTTATCTGTCACTTCTTCTTTGAGATGCGGCCATAGCCCCTCTCCACGGTTCCTATCTCCAGTATTTGTCGGCTCAATTAGCAACTGCTTCCATGACCCTGTCCTAGTCAGTGTTGTAACCGCCTTACAGATGTTCACGGAATCCTCTGCACAGCCTTCCGAGGCAGCTGCTGGTGTTCACATTGTGCAGATGTGAGTGCTCAGGCATAGGGAGGTTGGCTCACTCGCCCAGTGAAGCATAGCTCCCGCTTGGGGGAGCCTTGAGGGTTGTTTCATCCGCCCTGTCCCACAGTGTCCCAGTGCTGGTGTACCCCATCCTGCCCCTCCTGGGACAGAAGCCTCCTGAGTCCCTCTGTCTGCAGTTATGTGTGGACTGAGCACATTGTCGTTACTTGACAGGCTCCTTCATCCTTCATCCCCTCTGCTGGAATGACCCTCTCCTTTTTCCCTCTGTATAGTGGTTAAGGTCTGGGTTTAAATCCAACCTCTCCACCTGGTAGCAGGTGACCTAATGTAAGGTACTTAGCATCTCTGCGCCTCACCATCCTTACGTGTAAAATAGGATCTACTTCATATAGTTATTGGGGAAGATAAAATGGTTTTCTACATATACAAAGTGCTTAGGGTACTGTTTGGCATGTGGTAAGCCCTGGGTGTTATTTTTATTACTGTTACTGTTGTTATCCAAGCCTCCATCAAGCTGTCCCATAGACTCTTGACAAAATTGCTTCTGTCTTTGTGTTCCCATTGCGTTTTCTTGATAACAGCTATTATAATTCTTTCAAGATGTCTTTTCTGATGAGGGAGGGTCTTGAAGAACCAATACCTTAAGACTTGAGCAAGTCATGTACTTATTTACAATTTAGTGTTTATAAACCAGGCGCTGTGCTAAGCATGGGGTGGGGGGGTAGGGCACAAAGATGGATTATATATATGCTGCCCTCATTGGAAATCTTTATATGAACTTTGGAAATTTTGTGTGCACTTTGTAGAAAGTGAAACAAGAACCTCAGTTAAATCTGGCTTGTCTGTAATTTTTTTTTTAACACACTCTTCTCACTAATGCAGAGTTCACACACAGTGGGGAAAAAATATTATATAGCCAGACTGCAGTAGCAGAATCTGAATGGGGTGGAATGGGGGTGGTTGGGGAAACAGAAATGAACCAGCATCTCTATTTCTGTTTTATCTCTTATGTTAACTTTACACAAATATTCAACCTTAATTTGTGCGAATACCTACGAAGTGGTAACTCTCAGCCCCTTTAAAAGTCAGAAGTTAGAAAGTACCAATTTGAATGGCCAATCCAGGCCTGTGATTTTAAAATCCCACCCTGTTTGCCCACCAAGTGTCTCCGTGAGGACTGTAGAGTGTCAGCCTGGGAGTGCATGCACATGTCTCCCGATCCAGAGGCTCCTTGTTTGCAGTGTTCTCAGCCTTGTGCTGGTCTCTGCCAGGAATCTAAACCTTCACTCGGGACTTCCTGTCTGGGGCACTGTGGGTAACAGATACGGTCATGGATTGCCTTTCTACGACAGACACTAAAACAATGCTGGAGAAAGAGCAGGAGGCAGGCAAGTTCATCATTACAGTCTGAAGAGTGGGGGCGCCTGGGTGGCTCCGTCATGATCCTGGGGTCCTGGGATCAAGCCCTGCATCGGGCTCTCACTCTCTCTCTCAAATAAATAAATAAGATCTTAAAAAAAAAATCTCTGAAGAATAAAAATAAAAGTCTCATAAACGTGCTTAGGTGTACCTCCATGACTTGATTGAATCATTTGAGTCCTACTTTTAAAGTCATAGAATGAGCACCCTCTGGTGGATACCAACAGCAGTAAAACAAAAGGGATTTTTATTTTTTTTAACCGTAAAAGTTTAATTGGTTTTGTAATCAACAGTTATACTAATTGTGCTTAGTAATACCTAGATAAAGTGATATTTAATCCTCACTATTAGATAGGAAGGTAGAACAGAGAATGGATACAAAGGAATAGAGTAAAATCACAGAAAAGTTGAATGAAGGTTAATAACATCAAATAACTTTGTCCAAATAATACATTATACAATTTTTCAAGGGATACGTGTGGACAGGCAAGTTATAGCAGTCACCTTCTAGATTTTCAGTTTCCACGTTGGCTCTTTCACAGAATCACTCTGTTCATTATGTGCCTAAGGGAGTGTTTGTTCTCTTTCCCAACCTGCCTTTCTGTTGTCTTTGTCACCTTGCAGAAAAAGGACGCACTTTCACCATCCTGACACTTCCACGTTGCATTTCTCCAGGGTGACATGTCCACATGCTGGAGACTGGAATGTCATTGTAAGGGTTTAGAAAGTAAATGACGACTAGCACGTTCTTTGACAGGATAGGTGGTTTCCAAATTCTGCTTTTAACAAAAGTAAAGGAGCCCCAATCAAGTTGTTAACTAACAGATAAAGTATTTTTTGAAGATGCGTTGTTAAGTGATCTGGGAATATACTCAGAAAGAAATACAACTCAAAAAGGGAGACGTTGCTGTAACAAAATACATTGAATTCTCACCCACTTATTTAAATGGTTTTTCTCAGCTCTTGTAAAAATACAAAATAGGAATATAATTGAATTTGAACCCTGACTTAGTATGGCCTGGGTGATACTCATCTCTGAATATATGTGGACCCGGGTCAGGTGGGGTGGGGGGGAGGATGGCTCATTTCGTGGACATTGATTTCATATCACTTTTCCTTTTTTAAAAAAAATTTATTCATGAGAGAGGCAGAGACGCAGGCAGAGGGAGAAGCAAGCTCCATGCGGCGAGCCCGATGTGCGACTTGATCTGGGGACTCCTGGATCACGCCCTAAGCCGAAGGCAGGCACTAAACCGCTGAGCCACCCAGGGGTCCCCTCAATTTTCCTTTTTTTTTTTTTAATGATTTTTTTTAAAATTTTTATTTATTTATGATAGTCACAGAGAGAGAGAGAGAGAGGCAGAGACACAGGCAGAGGGAGAAGCAGGCTCCATGCACCGGGAGCCCGACGTGGACTTCGATCCCGGGTCTCCAGGATCGCGCCCTGAGCCAAAGGCAGGCGCCAGACCGCTGCGCCACCCAGGGATCCCCTCACTTTTCCTTTTTATGTTTAGTAATTATCAAATCTATGATAAGTATTTTGATCAATTTTATGATAGCGAATTTACTGATAATTGAATCCAGAATTTGCCGTTTTAAGCCTTAGAGATTTAGGCCACGGTGAAGACAAGCTTAGTGTATATGCGCATATGTGTTCATGGCAGAGAAATAAGACAGGATAATAAAAGATTTCAAGTACAAAATGTGTTAAGATGGAGTTACATGGGGAAATAGAATGTAAGTAGAAAAAGGAGCTTAAAACTTTCACCTGTTCCAGAAGAGTCAGTCCATGAATTTTTAAAGGGACAATGAAGGGTTTCAGAATCACTCTGGTATTTAGGTTCCACTGGATACATTTGAAAAAGTCGTATGATTCATATTTTAAAATGTCAATTTTTATAGTATGCTGGGAAGTCTGTTCTTAAATCTCTGGTGAAGATTTTGATGTCAGCGTACAGAGAGCAGGAGGGTCCCTGGTTTTCTCCCCCGTGGCATCCGTGCAGGGCCGGCCAGCATGTGCAGGCCCTGGCCTTGGGGGTCCCAGCCCCGCCGGCGGCTGGTGGAGCTGAACTCCTGTCACTGGGGATCAGGTCCCGCCAGGCCTGCGTGCGGAGCCTGGGGCTCCCTGGTGCGGGTCGGGGTCCTCGGCGCGTCCCGGTGCCGTGCGTGGGAGTCAGGACCGGAGCAGGCGTGGGCCCGCCAGCCCGGGGCATCCTCCTAGCAGTGCACGCGCGTGTGTGCAGGTGCGCCCGTGTGCCGGGGGAGGGGGCGAGCGGAGGCCCGCGTCCACGCAGTCCTGCCTTCTCGGGGCGGGAAGCCGCAGGCCTCTCCGTGGTACCCGGAAGGTCGGCAGTCAGCGTCGTCAGTCTTCTAGTGGTTTCTACTACTGGCTCAGGGTGAGGTGGGCGCGGCTCGGTCTCGGTCGCACGGCTCCCGGGGCTCCCCCGGCGGCCCCCGCTCCGAGGCCTGGTTCCGGGGGGGCGGGGGGCGCTGTTCCTGGGGTCGAGCCCCGCAGCGGGCGTGCGGCTTAGAGGAGTCAGGAAATGTGGTTTCAGCAAGTTCTTATTTTATGTGGTTAAAGGATGCGAGGAATTTCGGAAGGTCGCTGCCTCCCTGCTGTACGTGCGTCGCGGGCAGGCGAGGGCAGGGCCACAGCAGCCGCTCCGGGCGGCCTGGCGACCCTGGGCACCTGCGGGCCCCAGGCCCCAGTCAGTGCAGCGCGGCGCCGCCCCTCCACCCCCCAGGGCGCTGGGGCCGGCCCCCCCCCCCCCCCCCCGCCCGGAGCCCCGCCCGCAGCCCCGCCCGCAGCCCCGAACTTTCCCTGTTACCTGAGTCAAAACCCCGGACAGGTCTTGGCCCAGTTGGGAAAGTAAGGCCAAGAGGGGCGGAGATGAAGGCGGCGGCAGGTGTCCTCTGCGGCCGGTTCACGGTGGCTCCCCAGGTGGCCCCGAGGGGTGGCCGCGCTTCGGCCCGGAGAGCGTGCTGGAAATGCGGGTCGCCAGGCCCTGCTGCCCCCTGCGGCTCCGGGCCCGGGCCCCGGCCGGGCTGACGGCCTGCGCCGGGCTTGCGGCGGCCCCGGGCCTCGGAGCCCGTTAAGCCGGCGGCCGCCCCCGGGGAGCGCTGGGGCCACGGGGCAGCGGCTCCGCGGGCGGCCCCACGCGAGGCCCGGGCACCGCGGCGCGGCGGGAGGCGTCAGCCGGCGGCGGCAGCTGGCGGGCACCTGCGGGACCGGTGAGGACGCCCGGAGGCCCCGCCGCGAAGCCACGCGGTTCCCGCGGTGTCCCCTGTCGCTTGGCGGGAGCTGTGACCGCTCGAGCGCGGCTTGGAGACTGCGGCAGGGCGGGCGGCGGGCGGGCGCCTGGCGGGGTCCTGGCGGGGTCCTGGCGGGGTCCTGGCGGGGATCCCTACGCACGCCTGGCTTCTGGCCCCGGCCGGGGCCTGCCCACCTGCGCCGCTGCGGCGGATGTGAGCTGCCCGAGCTCTCACTTGGCCAGGAGGCCTGTGACACCCGCTCCTGTAACCATCCCCTGATGACAGGACGTTTCCCTCCAGTATTAACAGCCTCAGGGGGTAACGTTCGTCTCTACGAACAGCTTCCCTGTGCGACGCTCTGACACCTGCCGCGCCGAGAAGCCAGTCGGGCGCTCTTGGCGCTCTTGGCAGGATGCTCGGCCTGAAGGGGTGAGGCTGCGGCAGGTGCGGCATTCCTCTCCGGTGCAGGACTCAAGGGGCCCCTAAACTTAATAATCAGAACAAATAACACCGCGATGGGCACAACTGATACAGAAGAAAGAAAGCTCGTGATGAGTGACAAACCGAAGTTTTAAGTAAAGGCGGGATCAGAGCCGTTCTGGGTTGGGCCCCTCGGAGCCTTTGGCAAGACGGCAAAGTCAGTGATGCTGATCCTGCCTCTGGAAACAACGACCCTGTTCACTCGACTAGTACTGTGAAATCGTGTTGGTATATATGATATTAATATTCTTTCCCTTTTCTTTTTCTAGGGATGTACTCATATCTCCAGCATGCTGGCAATATGCTGTCCTTCTTAACCGATTCAACTATTCCTTTGAACTCGAAAAAAATTTGCATCTAAAGGGCTATCACACCCTCTCTCACGGGTCTTTGCCCTACCACCCTAAATCGATGCGGTGCTACCTCAGCAGGACTCCAGACAGAATGCCTTCAGAAAGACACCAAATCGGAAATCTAAAGAAATACTACCTCCTGAACGCTGCCTCTCTTCTCCCGGTGTTGGCTCTGGAATTAAGGGATGGAGAGAAGGTCCTGGATCTGTGTGCTGCTCCTGGAGGCAAATCGGTGGCTCTGCTACAGTGTGCTGATCCAGGTAGTGTGCTTTTCTTTCGCAAATTGGACGGCTTTTAGATATCCGTGTGTTACAAGATACTTGTAAGTATACGAGAAGTGTAAGATCGAGTTCACTGACTTTGAAAAGCTGAATACCAGGCCAGTATGTAGAATGGAAGCTTTAGCTGAGGAATCAGTGTAATTTTTTTTTCAGCTAAATACTAGCAGGTAATTTTGAGCAAAATTACTGCATTTTGTAAACATGAATCTGTCTGATGATAGGAATCCTGAGAAGCCAATAACAAAGATTTTTTACTTTATGGTTGACTTTTTATGGTTGAGAGTCTTGTATTGATATCTCGTCATACTTCTAGGCGGCAAAAACATACACATTAAAGTTATTTTTTGTATCATTGGACCGTAACGTTATAAGGCAGTTCTGTTCAATAGAAATATAATGTGAAGTGTATATTAAATGTAAAATTTTTAAGTTAATAAAAAAAGTCGAAACAGTTGAGATTAATTTTGGTAATATATTGTCACCCAGTATGTTCAAAATATTATTTCAACACGTAATCTAAATAAAAACTATTAAAGACATACTTTGCATTGTTTTTTCTTAACAAAGTATTCAAAATAGGAATGTAGTGTACAGCGCCTGTCAGTTTGGACTAGCTATTTAAGTGCTCATAGCCACTTGCAGCAAATGGGTATGGTATTAGACAACACGATTTTTTTAAAAAGATTTTACTTATTTATATGACAGAGCAGCAGCCAGAGGGAGAAGCAGGCTCCCTTCTGAGCAGAGCCCAGCGTGAGGCTCCGTCCCAGTCCCTGGGATCATGACCTGAGCTGAAGGCAGATGTTTAACTGACTGAGGCACTCATGCCCCCAGACAATGCAGATCTCAGAGACTTTATTTTTTTTTTTTAAGATTTTATTTATTCATTCATGAAAGACAGAGAGAGAGAGAGAGGCAGAGACACAGGCAGAGGGAGAAGCAGGCTCCATCCAGGAAGCCCGATGTGGGACTCGATCCCAGAACTCCAGGACTCCGCCTTGGGCCGAAGGCAGGCCCTTCCTAAACTGCTGAGCCACCCAGGGATCCTCCTCAAAGACTTTATTTTTTTTTTTTTTTTTAAATTTTTTTTAAAGGTTTTTTATTTATTTATTTACGATAGTCACACAGAGAGAGAGAGAGAGGCAGAGACACAGGCAGAGGGAGAAGCAGGCTCCATGCACCGGGAGCCCGACGTGGGATTCGATCCCGGGTCTCCAGGATCGCGCCCTGGGCCAAAGGCAGGCGCCAAACCGCTGCGCCACCCAGGGATCCCCTCTCCTCAAAGACTTTAAAAAGTTCTTTGCAAGTAACTTATCACTACCATTACTGGTATAAAAATAATGAAATGTATGTTAATGTACATTTATATAAATTTTTGTTAAAAGTAATGAGTCAAAAAAAAAAAGTAATGAGTCCACATTCATCATACATTATTTTCTTAATTAGATAATGAGATTTAAAAAATTATTTCAGATTTCCCTGGATAAATATCACTTATAGCTTGGTGAGGTAAGATTCAGCATCAGTTCTGTCTGATTTTTGTTTGTTTGATGGTTTTATTTTTATAAATGCAGATGCTGTTGTTTATTATAGATAAGATGATGGAAATGGTGGGAACTGTGTTATAGTAGTTACACTGAGCTGATTAAATCTTGAGTCATGACCCCAAATCACATCGATATTTTTTCATCAAGCATTATTTTAATGATCTGCTGGGTGAGCACTCTAGACCCACTTTTGATTTTGTTGAAGGCAAAGGGTTACAACCCATCTCAATTACAAAAGGCTACCAGGCTTGGTCTTTTAAGTCTGTTCCCTTTCTCAGCCAAGGACCCCGTGTGTTTCACTGCCTTTGTTTGGTGCTCTGTGAATGTCTGTACCTGGCACGATTTGCTGTGATGAGATTCAGGATGAGTGAGAAGCAGGCCTCCTTAGGTGTAAGGTGGGTGAGGGGTCACTGCGAAGGGAGATGCCCTGACCAGAGGTGTTCTTCAGGAAGGTGATGATCCAAAAGTTGATTCTTTTAAAACTATTCAGTCTCCCTTATTATCCCTTAGAAAGTGATGTGTCCCTAGGGCATGCATATCCCAGTTTGAAGACTGCTAACTTGTATCTTCCTTTGAGAGCACTCCCTGTTGAAGTAGATTTCAAAGACTTTTGTGGGAACTGTGAATCCAGTTGTCTTTGGTACAAATGACATTGGTACAAATATATCAGTTAACTGTGCATTTAGGAGAAAATATACTGTGTGTTTTAGAGTTGCGATTAAAACTTTGTTATTGAAACTTGGTGTGTTTTTTGATGTGAAAAACCAGAACCAAAGGGCTAATTTTGTAAGGTTTTTTTATTATCTTTATAATTTGAGATGAAGGTTTATGGAATCGTATTATAAGGAGTATTTTTGCTTTCATTCTTATTTTGTTATATCAGTTTTGAATATTGAGTTTTTAGTATTGTTAAAAAAAATGGAAAAGAAATGTCAAATTTGGGTACCGTGTTGAAGAGAGAGCATTTTAATCCTAAATTATCTTCATTAGTAGGCTATAGATATTTTACATGCTTGTGAGAGGGAAGGTGATTTGATTGGGAATACAAATGCAAACTGATATATCCTAGGCGTTTGAAGTGGAGAAGCCATCTTCCTGTTCTGACATCAAGGGCAATGAACCACAGGCAGTGTTCCAAGTAAAGAAGCTTTTCATCTAAGTGGGACTAATGATAATGGTTTAGTAAGAAGTACAGATGTCTTCATGCTGATGCTCAAAGCCCAAATTAGGTTAGCTACAGTGCTTGAATTTGGAATGCAGAAGCAATGCTAAAATAAGCTTTTAAAAGCAAAACCTAAAATGATGGCTGCAGCTAAATGTGCATTTATACAACAAATTTCCTTAGCTCAGTACTGGTCTTTATTCTGGGCCAAGAGGCTCACAGCTTTGAATGATTAAAAAGCTCATATTTTAGGATGATTAAAGAAATTAGCCTATTTTTCTTTTGGTCCAGCTGCTCCCACCTGTTAGCACAGGAATGGATTGTCCATTTGTTTTGTTTTTGTTTTTGTCAGCACAACCTTTATTATGTCCTGGTCTTGATAGAAGAAGAACGAACAATTCTGATTCTAAATAGGAAAGCATTAACCTCCTAAGAATGACCCAGCTTGGTAGAGTGGCTTGATCAGCTTCCTTGCTGAGGGCTCTGTCCTCAGAACCTCCATGAAATTTTCTTTGCAGCCAGTAATACCTTTTTGACATCTGGTTAGCCTTTGGTGGTAGAAAAGACTAGAAAGTCTCCTTCCTTTACTTGCTTTTATCCTGCTTCCTGCCCTCTCAGGCCTCAGGCCTCATGCACACACTATAGGTATCACTTTCCCCCCTCGTCCTCCCCTGCTAACTTTTTTTCATTCTTCAGGTTTTCATTAAGGAATCAACTTTCCTAGAAAGCCTTCCAGAACTCCCTGCATTAGGTGCACTTTTTAGTTTGGTTAGTAATAAGTACATTTTGGAATACTTGAGTGTGTGCCAAGACCGTAGTAATCACATGGTATAAATATGTTTTCAAACATTTTTTAGTGGTCTCTACTTCTGGTGTCTTATGTTGTATTTCTTTATATACATGTTTCTGAAGTCCTGGGGCCCAAAGGAACACACTGTGACTATCACTGTTGTACATGATCTTATTTAACCCTGCAGCCCCATTAGTTGGGCATTATTATCTCCATTTAGAGATGCAACTGAGACAAAGAGAAGTTAACCTAAATTGTCCGAGGTAAGTGGCAGATCTGAACATTTCAGAAATGTGCACTTGACTCTGTTTGGAGGTCTCCTGATGTTATTCAACTGCTGATGTGTCCAGCATCCTCCCATTAGAAAGCTTTCTGACAACAGGGGATGTTCCCACTGTTTTTTTGTGTTTGCAGCTACTAGCACCATGCCCAGTCCAAAACAGGTGCTTATAAGCCAGAATCTGAAATGGTTGTATTCTTATATTTTTTTTTTTTAATTTTTTTTTTTTATTTATTTATGATAGTCACAGAGAGAGAGAGGCAGAGACACAGGCAGACGGAGGAGCAGGCTCCATGCACCGGGAGCCCGACGTGGGACTCGATCCCGGGTCCCCAGGACCCGCCCTGGGCCAAAGGCAGGCGCCAAACCGCCGCGCCACCCAGGGATCCCTGAAATGGTTGTATTCTTAAGTGTATTTTAATCTATTGTCAACTGTGGTTTTTTGGACAAATTTGTCGTTAAGTTTGTTGTGAAGTTGTAACATTGCTTCCAGATATCTCAAAGAACCTTACCATTAGCCTTCATTAGCACTTCTAATAATATATGGATAATATTATTCTAACTTTTACCGTGAGAGGGACATTATAATTTCTCAGATAATCATAATTATGGCTTATAACTCCAAGGAACAACTAACAGAATTGCAAATAGGCAGAATTGTTGGGGTTTTTTTCAAGTTAATTGTACCACAGCAAATTAACAAATGAAACTACCAGCTCAGTTTCTTTCCATGGGCCAAAGGCTGCCACATATAGATGGAAAGCCTCAATGACTTTTTCTGGTATTTGTTAAATTCATCCCCTTTCCTGCTTAGATGAAGAAATACCAAAATTTGGTTTCTTTTTGGCTATTTAAGCATGAGGTAAATTCTGTTTCAATGTAGTAAGTCTTAGTGTGTGTGTGTGTGTGTGTGTGTGTATACACACACACATATGAAACTTGAGTTGTGATATATATTTTGAAATGTTTAACCGATCTAAGACAATTTTAAATAAAATCTACATCTAGGCCAAACAATAGAATACAAAGCTATATTTTAACTAAGAGACTTATTTTAAAATGCTGAATTGTGAATCTTGACCAAAGCTGTAATTTAATGAAAAACTGACCTGATTTTCAATGTTAGCAATTTAAATATTCTTTTTTATAATGCCATGTTTCAAATCAAGTCAGCCACATTAGTGAGCACATATTATATGT